GTAGCAAGTTGCATCACTGGATGTGAAATTTGCAAATACAATTTAGGCAGTGTCTAAATAACACAAAAACAACACAGAGAACCACATGGTTTTTTATACATATCTGCAATAACAACCTGAACAACATAATCTGAAAAATTACGCTAACAACTATTTTTTATGATTGCTCGTTGGTAATGAACCAATCATCAATTGTGAGATTTCAACAAATTCCCAACACTAATCGGAACAATACATCTCAACCATGATCCACATTTTCTATGACATTTGATATTCAGAAGTCATACAAATTAACATTATCTGAAATACCAAATACATAATTACTTCTGTCATGTTTACACTGACAAACAGCTTTTGTTTCAGGAAGCAGCTATAGAGCAGTTTAATCAAACAGAAACAACTTTCACTGACTCTTGTAATCATAGTAACTAAGTCACACTGGCACCAAACACGACATATTTCCATTTATCCATATAATGGCGTTAATGTAAATATAACTGCTCTGACACTCTGAGATACCAGACAGAGGAACCGATAATTGTCACGTAGAATCCTTGTGCTCAAAGTGTTTAGTCAACACACAAACCGGTCCTGTCTATCAACATATAAATCTACAGAAACTAGCCAATATGTATTCAAGGTGTATGCCATGGCTAAAGTTATCATTGTATATTCTGTTAGCATAACTCCAGGATTCTATATTAGTTTTCTATGGAGCATTATATTATATGGTGTGCTTGGCGATGTGTACCGTTCCACATCTGGACACGGCCTTACTCTATTAGTATTATAACTGTGAACTGTTGATTGTATAGCCATTGGATGCATATGTTTTCATTTGTCAGGAAAAGGCAAGCAATAAAACTGATTAAAAGCATCTCATATGAATACATACAAATAAGTGTGTATATTAATATTTCATTCAGCAATATTCCAGCTGGGAGCAGGACAATTGCCACCCAGACAATTGCCACCCAGACAAATGCTACCAGACAATTGCCACCCAGACACCTGCCACCGGACAATTGCCACCGGACAATTGCCACGGACAATTGCCACTCAGGACGATTGTCACCCAGTTATTTTTACTATAATAGTGAGGACAATTGGCACCCAGATTTTTTTCTGTAATTTTATTTGAGAAAATGAATGCCAGTTGCCAATATACACAACACTAGATGAATATTCCCACCCATGCATTTATTCCATAGACAAGCTCCTTGGAGTCAGATGAGTGGTCACCGATTGCGACACGTTGGTAATGGCATCTTTGTGATAGGTATAAACGAATCCACTGAAGCGCAGTCCATTGATACCTACTCTTTCCTTCAGGGTCCTGATGACGATGTAAAAGTTGGTAAAGAAACTGAATTATTTTTTTTATGTTTTGAGAGGCACTTGTCCTGGTGGCAATTGTCCAGGTGGCAATTGTCCTGAATTATCTTTTATGTTTTGGTTTTTGAGTGGTAATTTTTGGTGGCTGAATTGTCCTGATGTGGTAATTGTCCTGAGTGGTAATTGTCCGGGTGGCAATTGTCCGGGTGGCAATTGTCCTGAGTGGTAATTGTCCTAGGTGGCAATTGTCCTAGGTGGTAATTGTTCTAGGTGGCAATTGTCTTAGGTGGCAATTGTCCTGAGGTGGCAATTGTCCGGGTGGCAATTGTCCTGAGTGGTAATTGTCCTAGGTGGCAATTGTTCTAGGTGGTAATTGTTCTAGGTGGCAATTGTCTTAGGTGGCAATTGTCCTAGGTGGCAATTGTCCTAGGTGGCAATTGTCCTAGGTGGCAATTGTCCTAGGTAGTAATTGTCCTAGTTGGCAATTGTCCTAGACCCATTCCAGCTCAAAGACAGCATTCTGCAACTAAACTAATCAAGTCATTCAGTGACAAGCACTATGAACATTGATTGTGTCAGGTGTGCAGTATAATAAATTTAAATTTTTAATATCAATTGTTACCCATGTCATCCATAGTGCATTATGTTGGTCTAAAGCACCTTTATCTTTTCATACAAGAAGACAACATAAATCCATAATTTATCGCAGCACAATAAATTTTAATCAAAATTTTGAAATGGTCCCTAATCAAACTGACATTCATTTGCCTCCATTACAACACAGCTATATCTGTCGACACCTCTGTTTAATGGCTGTCGGCATTCCAAATGTAACAAGTCTAATGCTGTTTACATGACTAATGCAGCTGAAATCAACAAGCAGCTATTTCACTCAGCTGTTAAACAATGTCACACATATCAAGAAGCAAACCCTGTCTTGTGGCCAATAGGAAAACCTAATGTGTATCAAGAGCAATAATAATTGGCTAAATAACACAGTCAAACAATTAAAATGTTAATTAAACATGTCGTCCATATCACACAGTCGCGACTTCCTGTGAAGGAGGCCAAGTACATTCAGTTTACGCTGATTTGAAACTTCAAGCCTAACCATGATAACATCACTGCCTTAGCAAAAATGTGAATGCAATATAAATAACAAAACTAGCCTAGGGATACTCTAAGTCAATGCCATTGGATTGATGATCGATGATAAGTTTTGAAAATGTATTGTTAATTCAGGTAAGCTATATATATATTTATTCCCGCAGTATAGATCAGCTGTATTTAATACAGGGTTCCACTACAAAGGGATAGCTGTATCAAATTACCAATAATCTGATTAGATTACAAAAGCAACAACATAACAAGCTTAAGCCAAACAAAATATAAAAATTACAATAGTTTTTGTGACCTGTGTCTTTTCTTCCCCGCTCCATTCCTAACATGTTTTTACTGAATGTTTTATAAACCTGTCCAGCATGTTGGGTTGGTCGACTACTTGAAGATCAGCAGTTCCGCCATCCATCAGTTATCCACGGTTTTCCTAGCAATTATGTATATGTGCTTGTAACCTTATATAGACACGAAGCTCAAGTTTGTGCTGCTCCAATTTATCAATTTGACAAAGAACAAAACCAGTTTTGTTCAAATCTTAACAATACTTATAGCATGATATATATTCCAAGTCTACCTTATTTAATTGATAACTGATCATTTTGAACTGAATTTAGTGCTGTGCTGGAAATTCAATAGGTTAAAGGTTAGGACAGACTGATAATTATTCAATGTTCAGTTAATAGGTTTAAAACAGAATTTTGTAAAAGTAAGTGTATATAAGATTTCACAACTGCCATTCACGTTCAAACAGTTGTGGTGCTCAACACAGCAATGGCTGAATCTGATGCTGTAAGTTGAGTTGTTTCATGTCAGTCAGCAATATTGAGTGAGTGAGTTTGGTTTTACGCTGCTTTTAGCAATATTCCAGCAATATCACGGCGGGGGACACCAGAAATGGGCTTCACACATTAGACCCATGTGGGGAATCAAACCCGGGTCTTCGGTGTCACGAGCGAACGCTTTAACCACTGGGCTACCCGACCACCCCCAGCAATATTGAAGCAACATAATGTCTAGCAGTACATAATCAAGTCTGGGCCAGACAATCAAGTCCCACAACACCCAACACAGTGATGTGTGATTATAATGGTGATGAAGACCTATTCTCAACCTGGTCCTATACACCTCTAAATTTCTTCACTTGACTCGAACAGTACATTGATGACTGACTGACTGACTGAGTTTAGTTTTACGCTGCTGTTAGCAATATTCCAGCAACATCACGCCGGGGGACACCAGAAATGGGCTTCACACATTGTACCCATGTGGGGATTCCAACCTGGGTCTTCGGCGTGACGAGCCAACGTTTTAACCACTAGGCTACCCCACCGCCCCGTACATATATGAGTCGTTACACTGAGGACTGTATCTTTCCCCACAAGTCTGCAGTCTGAGAGTGAACTTGTGATAAATTGTGTTTCAACCCGTTCTCTTAATATCCCTCCCCAACCTCCCCTTCCCCCCCCACTTTTCACACACCCATTTCCAATCCAGCAGCACCAGATGAGGTTGAAAAGATGGCTTCTCTTAAAAAACTAAGCTATATGAACAAATCAGATGGTTTGACTAGCTTGGTTTATGAACTGTTTGAATGCAAGATATGAATATTACAGAACATATAAATTATCTAGTACGTCTATATGAAAGTCAGTGTGTGTACAATACTGGTCTTGATAGCCACGGGTTTCACTTTCAAATAATTTTTGTTTGCTGTTTGAATATTCAGCAATATTTTAGCTCCATGATGGCGACCTGAGGCCGGACCAGACAATCGTGAGCATCGATCTATGCAATAGGGTTCCAATGACATGCATCAGCCACGACAGCAAATCTGACAACCCTGTCCCTCATTTGGGTTGCTGATGACCATCGTAACACAGATCTGATGGGATATTTTCAAAGAGATCACAATATATGTTATTTCTTATGGTCATGGTGTTTCACATGATAAAAGGGGTGGTGGAGTAGCCTAGTGGTTAAAGGGTTCGCTCGTCACGCCGAAGACCCTGGTTCGATTCCCCACATGGGTACAATGAGTGAAGCCCATTTCTGGTGTCCCCCACCTTGATATTGCTGGAATATTGCTAAAAGTGGCGTAAAACCAAACTCACTCACTCACATGCTAAAGGGATGCCCATCCAGTGAATCAACCTTTCATCAAAGTATGATATAAATTTGCAACCCACAGTTACTAAAATCGATTACAATTATTTCAGTTGAACTAAAATCGATTACAATTATTTCAGTTGAAGAACATGTGAATTAAGTGCCTTCAGGTAATTTAACATTTGTTTACATTTAATAAACTGACATGTTTAGTCAATTTTATCTTCATTTTCGTGCCCTGGTATCTCTTAAATTCTGTATAGACAAACTATGAGCGATTCTGGTATATATTTCACATAGTTTAGTTGGTAATTGTAAACATCAGCTGATTGGGAATACGAGTTTTAAATTGCACGGTGTACTGTTATATAGTTTCTGTAAGTGTGACATGGAAATCAGTAACGGCAATGGTGATAATGTGTGTAAAAATCGTCACTCACATCAACTTGTCTCTCCCCTTCGTGTGGGCGTGGCAGATTAACATCGGCATCAACAAAGTCTTCACGTGCGCTGTTGCCCCCGAAGAGATAGCGGAGAGTGAATGGTCCGACCAGGAAAAAGATTGTTCCTCCCAGAATGTATTTGATCAACGTGATAGTATTTCGTCTCATCGTTGTGAACGACAAGTGCTGTCTCGTCCGAATCTGCAGACGCTGAGCGCTTGCAACGTGGCCTGTACTAGTTTAACTGTGGAACAGAAGTTTGCCCGAGGGAGACAGTGACTGTCACAGGACAAGAACAGATTCTCCAAAGCAGTGCCCGTTCGATCGGCTGAACTGGTGCACCCGTCAAACTATCCTGCAATCACTAAAAAAAATCGTCAAATTTGTTATGACTGAGAACACGATTTGTACTTTCAGGATAAACATTCACGTGATAGTGATCAAACTTTGTTGTTGGTGAGAGCACGTTAGGAAGGTGCTCGCCATATTGTTTACTCTCAGCGCCTCGGTTTGACACAAATCTGGGAGACTTCGTTTGATCGTGCCGCGCCTAGACTTGCCCCGGCTTCCAAAGTTATTTGCGCCAAAGCGTTTGGACAGTGGTGACAGCTGACTGGCTCATAGCGAAATTATTGAACAGATCGAATGTGTAGAGTATCATAGCAACATTGATAAGAACTAAAGACATGTGTTAAAATACAATATTATATGTGATACAGATGTTCTTATTTTTTTTACACCCTAAATAAATAAGTATTCTGATAATATGAACAGGTATTGCGGCCCCGCGAGTAAGCAGGTATCTATAAATTAGGTCCATGTAAAAGTAAACCGGTCATTCAAGCAGCAAATGATTATCTTATTCATATACGCACAGCATCTCAATTTCGATGACGGACAGATAGTGTGAAAATCACATTTACGAATGACTGATTGTGCCAAATCAGCATTAATTATGGCCCCAAGGAGATCAATCTGAAATCCACGAGATGAATCACTTTGCAGTGATTTTGATCAACGATAGAAGATAATGGCGTTTATATGAATTCTATAATCCTCTATTGTATTGAATTTCAGTATCTGAAATGAGATGTGAATTGCACATTGTTTTACATGAACAGCGGTATTTACAAGGACCTGATAACAAAATACATTTCCTATAAAGTAAAACAGCTAATTATGATTTGATTGTGATTTTTGTTTGTTGTTGTTGTGGTCTGGGGTTTTGGGGTTTGTTGTTTTGTTTGTTGTTTATTTTTGTTTTGATTTTTGTTTGTTGTTGTTTTTTGTTTGTTTGGGGTTTTTTGGGGGGAGGGGGGTGGGTGTGTGGAGGTATTTGTGTGTAGTAGTATTTTGTTACGTTTTAATTATTATTTTGATATTTACTTTTAATCATTATATTTATCTATATTTATATTTACTCTTTCTTTCTTATATTTGGGTTTGGGTTTTTGTCACAAGATGGTTCTAATTATTGTCAAGTCAGTCGTATCACCCAAACCCTGTCTTTGTAACTTGCAAGCTATTTATGATACATTTGTTACTTGTACCGCCAGCGAGATGTACGGGATTTTACGAGATGAACGTTTGTGTTCATCCCACGAGTTTCAGTCTCGTAGTGCACACACCTACTCATCTCGGTAAATCCCGTATGGCTCGTGACTCCTGTCACATTTATTATGTATGTATTTACCTGTCGTGTCTCGACCTGAGCGGAATAGAGTTCCTGTGAAACGAAACTTGTGTTGGAATTTTCAACGTGGATGCAGATGAGGCTACATTCGAAATAGATGTGGGAGAGTGAGCATGTCTTTCGCCGGTTTGTCTATATATATTTATATTCCAGCAATATCAAGGCATGGGACACTAAAGAAGGATTCAACATCTACCCATTTAAACACACCACCCACCCCACCACCCCCACCACCCACCACCCCATCAAAATTTGTATTTTGATACATTTTGTTGTGGTTGTTGTGGTTGCAGCTGCTGCTGTTGATAATGATGATAAAACGGCTAATTCATCAACTTCCCAGCAACATGACGGGTTGTAACAATCAGCCCTGTACCTGACAATCAAATGATTGATATCGTGACCACCTGTCCAGGTGATTGGGATGCAGTGACATGCGTCAACCAAGCCACCTTACCATCTTATCTGTCCTTCAACGCATGGTGATGAAATAATTTCCGAGAAACGCTTCAATAGACATAATTACGGAAGTTAACTTGCACGTTTTCAGTCCATTTTCAATTGTTTTTGTTGTCTCGTAGAAGGTATTAAAATATTAATGAATACACAAAATTCGTTGATGGGCAGGGTTACTTCATTTATTGCCATGACGGATCTGAATGAAGGCCTATCCCGGCGTTTCCGGGTCGTGATGGGTGGATACTACACTTGTTATCTCCCATATAAGCCTGCCTGTGTGAGACGGTGTAAATATGCAGGACCGCCTAACTCAAACCAAACGTGTACGCTTCGGCTACCACTCATAAGTCTATGCTAAAGAATAGGGGTTACGATCGTCTTAGTGCTACGTTTGTGCGATAGTCGTAAGTCTAGGCTAAAGATTAGGCGTTAATATCATCTTAGCACTACAACCGTTGTATGTTTATGTTGCAATATAAGGATTGCAATCATCTTAGCTCTGCGACTATCGTAAGTCTATGCTAAAGATAAGGCGTAAAGCCGGGTTTCCATGTGCGCGCAGTGCGTGATGCGTAATGCGTATACAACACTTTATACTAACATAGTAATAGCGGTTTCCATGCACGCGTAAAACGTGATGCGTGATACGTAGTACGTAGTGCGTGAATTTGCTTACGCACAAAAAGTGTCCGAATACGCATCACGCAGCTATACGGAGGCCGGAAGTAGGGATTCCCAAGGGGTTTTCCAAATGTCACGTGGTTTTCATTATGAACACAAGTTGCAAAGTGTCAAGGAATTCGGTACCCAGGATACTGAACAATTAATTGAACCCTCCTTCTTTGTATCAGGAGTTCACGCACCCACCATCGGGGCCTTCGTGTTTTCACATAACAGTACAATCAACCTGCAGTGACCACAGCCTCCGTTATGTCTGTTAGTTCTGTAGCGTTCTTGAGAAACAAGGTGGCATTGTAGACAACAATTGTGATCAGTACGATCTCCAGGAAAGGAATTAAGGACTTGATTTAACGCATCACATATACACGTACACATGGTATTGGACACTACGCACACGTAATACGCATTAAGCACTACGCACCACGCAATTACGCAGACAATACGTACACATGGAAACCTAGCTTTACTATCACCTTAGTACTACGCCTGCCATACGTTTATGTTGCAATATAAGGGTTTGCGATCATCTCAGCTCTACGCTAAAGATTAGGGTTACTATCGCCGTAGCACAATGACTGCCGTCCGGTTATGTGGAAATGTAAGGGATACCTTCAGCTTAGTGCTACGACTATTGTAAGTCTATGCTTAAGAGGGCGGTGGGTGACCTAGTGGTTAAAGTGTTCGCTCGTCACGTCAAAGACCCGGGTTCGATTCCCCACATGAGCACGATGTGTGAAGTCCACTTCGGGTGTCCCCTGCCGTGATATTGCTGGAATATTGCCAAAAGCGGCGTAAAACTAAACTCACTCACTATGCTAAAGAACAGGTGTTACCATCAACTTAACCCTACGACTGCATGTCGTACGTGGGTGTTGAAATCTAAGAGTTACTATTACTCATCACTACGACTGTCGTAAGTCTATGTACAGAAGTTATGATTGATTTCTAGACCAGGGACCAGGTAGTTAGTTTCCAAGATGAATATTCCTTTACAGACCTAATGTAGCACCGGACTCGACTTACACACCACCGATATTCACTGTTATTGATTTCAACAGAAGACTTGGTCTTAACGTTAGATATTGTCTGCCGCTTGGATGTAACAATTTTAACCACTGTGAAAGGTTAAACAAAATGCCAACTTAAATATATTATGATACAATCCCCATCAGAGCAAAATCCATATACAAAGGAGCACCATTCATAAAGGTGTTTTAGTGAGTGTGGGTTTAGTTTTACGCCGCACTCAGCAATATTCCAGCTATATGGCGGCGGTCTGTAAATAATCGAGTCTGGACCAGACAATCCAGTGATCAACAGCATGAGCATCGATCTGCGCAATTGGGAAGCGATGACATGTGTCAACCACGTCAGCAAGCCTGGCCACCTGATCGCCTCTTACGACAAGCATGGGTTACTGAAGATCAATTCTAACCCGGATCTTCACGGGTCTAAAGGAGTTTGAAGTGAATATAGAAAAATTGTATGGTATACCGCGACTGGACAAGCTAGCGATGAGCATTTGAACTGGGGAGTATTTTTATACGGTTCGTTATATTTTTAAAGTTAGTTAGTTTCCAAACTGGCCAGGAGGGATTATTAAGAAAAATGTGACATGACCTCGTCAAATTTTATAGCCTCAAGTATACATATTTGTGTTTGTATTTTTTGTGTTTTAGTGGTTCTTAAACTTTAACACTCACAACTAATAACGCTAATAAACAACAGCATTTATTGACATTAATCTTCAAGTAGAGATTCGGGCCACCTTTACGAAAATGATCATTGCCTAATTTGAAAGTTACTGGCATTTGGATAGCGGGTAGGCATTCTTTTCGAACACTGTCTATATATAGCATCATGGTATGCAGTATTTAATAGTGGAACTATTAAGCGAATCGTTTTAACTGTGTGAAAAATAGGACCAGTCTCGCTGTAAATTCGTTATTTGTAGAACCAGTATGACGTCACTATAATGTGATTACAATTGCTAAAATGTGTCTCCTGTGGAAAAAAATACGCCTAGGATCTGCAAAAGTTAGTATATTTATCCCTACAAATATATACAATGACATATATTCCCAACACAGTCCCGTGTAAACAGCTGGTGCTATTTGCCTTCTCGCCTGTGACATGCAAACCGTTATCTCTCACCACGTCCAACGCACCTGTCAAGACCAAAAGACAATATAATGATCATGTTTCTATATCTTCATTTAACACATCTACATTTAATAAATCCGTTTTATTTATGCCTAGATTCTAATCACGACACTGTACAAATTGCATATATGTGACGATGACATGAATATATTTTCATCTTGTTCCATACATACAATGAAGTTGAGCACATGTTATTAGATACATGTATTATTGATTTACCTGGCTTACCATCTGTCGCTAATGTAAACCGACATGGTAGCTTCCTGCTGCTTGAGTGCTTACCACCATATGTATCTGTCATTAGTAGTGTTTGTGTTATCGTGATGGATATACATTGGATATATTAACATCCAATCGACAGAGCGTGTAAGTAGTTTAATTGATCCAACGTTGTTACATCGGTCTCTCTAGTGTGGCAAGATATGATGCTTTAGCCTGTTGACACTAAAGAAGCAGGCCCTTAGGTACCTGTAGAATCTCGTTAAGACTTTTTTTAAAAAATACAGTAAAGTAACAAATGTTATATTTTCCCAGTAAAGTACAGATTCTAATACTTTTGTTGGGTTGAGTCCCATCCGGGATTCGAACCCACACCCCCATAGTCAGGCACCTCATTGCCATCACACAAAGTCAGCCGCCTAACCAATTCCGCCACATAGTGCTAGCCGCGGTACCTGAATGGGTTGGACGACAGGCTTTGTGTGCTGGTGTGTGCCTGATACTGGGGTGTGGGTTCGAATCCCGGATGGGACTCAACCCAACGAAAGTGGGTTCGAATTTGTTACATTTGACCACTTTCTAAATGGCATTGTGTATTTATAGTAAAGTACCCTCTACCGACCTGTTTGTTCTGTAGATCCGTCGTTCTATCGTCAAGCAGGTAACACTGGCCTCTCACCCTAATGTAAATGGACAATTTGTGCAATAAATTGTTGTACTTTCCCTCTCTGATGTTGCTAAACACGTGTCCCTCACGTAGCCATGGATACGTCCTAAACGACCATAACAGGATACGCTGCACGGCTAGATGTAGAACACTAAGTATCGACCCCTACCTGTAATCCAACACTTGACAATCACCTGTTGTTTAATGATGATATCTGTAACATGTGTTTTCTCTCGGACTTTTCACCTGGATGTTTACAGGTAAAGTGTTTGACAGATACGTAGTAGTGAGGCATACAGGCATTTTTGCTTGCAAAGTAACATTTTTCCATTTCCATTTTACACATAGCAATATTAATCGCCAAAACGCAGCAATATTCAAACAGTATTTACATCAATTTCACATGCAGAATGATTCTATAGGGTATAAAGAGAGCCTAGAAGACATGATCTGATACACAAGTACGAGAAATATGCCACGATTAACAGCTGAAGGGAGCGAGAGAGCCATTGGGATGCAGATGGGGTAACAATGCTGTTGCCAACGCCCACGGATGCCACCGAGAGACCATTGGGATGGCGCAGATGGGGTCGACATACAATGCTGTTGCCAACGCCCACGGATGCCACCGTATCACGGTTATAAGACATTATTCGGGGCTTCAGACAGACAGGGATCACCGTAGACAGACAAAGAAGTGGACGTCCACGCATCACAACGCCTGCTGAAGATAGGTACCTCCGCCATAAAGGAAGGAGGGTAACGTTTCTTTTGGCGTTTAGTGTATATCCATGGGTTTAGTACTCAGTGCAGTCTTGGAGCAAGGCTATGTGCTACACCGCCATCCTTATTAGGAAGTCTATTTTGTAGAATCATTTTCCAAGGATCCTTTTCATTAAATTCCCTTAATAAAGTGGAGCTGATGTTACCGTACATATCGAAGATAGCTGACGCCTGACGGGTGACAACATACTCTGAACCTGCGTGTAACATCGCAGCACGGTGTTACCCTCTAAAACACCCCACCGCCACGGATGTGTTGCTGCTCACGAACCTTTGGTTGTGAGATTAAATCCAAACTAGACCAAAAACTGCTGATGCGACAGAACTGTATCCATACATTTCGATGGGTTTAAAAACTGGCGTTAAATGCCTGCAACCCTCAGCGAAGCCTGACATCGATGGCCGCTCACAGAAGACTGAACACAGTCTAACTCGCCGAGATACGCGACAGTCCTAAATGATGTGGGTAGCACAGAATAAGAAATATGCTACAGGTGTAATGAGAAATAAGCTGCCTAAATTAGATTAGACCATACGTGTGAATAAACATTATTACTTTTTTCTAATGCATCTCAGTCACATGATTAAATCCTCTACCTCAGGTCGGTTGATAAAGAATTGTGCGACATATACCGTAGTTTCTCTAATAAGCGCACAACTTCAATTTTGTTTCGGCCTTCAATAAGCACTGAGTATACAGCAGAGTACAACACAATAAGGGGTGTGTCTCTAGCATGCGTGTATGGTGTGGCGCAGTGGTTAAAGGTTCCATACGTATTGTTACTGTTATTTACTGTTATTTACTGTTGTTACTGCGATTTGATATTACTATATTCACACTCGGTCTCTCAAAAACATAAAATACAGGTTTATCTCAGTTCAGTTCAGTTCATTTATCCACCAAAACCACTCACATAGGTACATAGTACAATTATACAGTGATACATGAGTAATGTAATATTGATACGAGGCAATATCATTGACGTTTTGAAAGATTTACATAAATACATGTAATATATTTGCTTAACGTATCAATAACTGTGTAATTTCTTTCAATAAAAGACTATGCTGTTTAAAGTAATTAGGTCTTGTACAACAATACTTTGGTAATAACTTGTTTCTATCTGCTAATAAAGAATTACACTAAAAAATGTAGTGGTACTCATCACCCACTTCATCGGAGTTACACTTTGAGTTACACATCAGACACTTTCGGTCATTATAAGGCACATGATGCCAGAGTCCTACTTCAACAGGAAGCTGATCTGTTAGAATTTGTTCAAGTTTACAGGGGAGCCAAGCTCACTGTATCAGTGATTTTAGCTTATACAACACCGTAGCTGCATAATGAAGCGTCTCCAGTCACCGCTTAGCCTTCATTACCCATTTTAAGCGGGCTGAAAGAATAAGCACAGCGCGCTTATTGCAGGAAACACAGTATATATGTACGTCACACATTGTAGGTGTGTATACGTGTTGACACGTGTCGATTTTATGATAGTATTCCAACAGCATTTTCCGCAAACTGTATTCTGTCAAATAACAATACTATTTATACTTAGAGTTGTGAGGCTATGAATGCCATCCTATGTTGTAACAAGGACACAGCATGCCGTTGGCGAAAGTCAGAAAATGTTTTACGTGAAATACTGGTGAGCTGATAACTTTAGAGTTTTAAAGACAATCAGAAGGTATAATAGTGTCCCATTTTTGACAGCGTCTTGGTCGCTGATCCGTTAAGGTATGAAGTTTCGCTGTCAAAACTGGGATAACTAAACCAATCAGAAGCCCCCAAACAAAGAAAGAGTGTGAGATAGAAAATATGGATCGATATTGAAGAAGTTAATAACTGTACGATTTACTGTAATTTGAAAAAACCCACACGAATTCTTGACGTGGATGTGAAAATGGCCGGGGTGAAGTTCTAAATTGACAGTGCGAAGTCTCAGTGTATTATTGTACGTATCGGGAACAACCTGATCTTCCGTAACCCATACTTGTCGTAAAAGTCGACTAACGGGATCGGGTGGTCAGGCTCGCTGACTTGGTTGACACATGTCATCGTATCCTAATTGTGTAGATCGATGCTTATGCTGTTGATCACTGGATTGTCTGCCCCAGACTCGATTATTTACACACCGCCGCCATATAGCTGGAATATTGCTGAGTGCTGCGTAAAAATAAATAAACACACTCATTTCTTTTTAATATATCCCTACTTTTTTAATCCAATGCATAAACATCTTGCTCCATCACTGTTTTTTTAATCGGAAGCTGATGTTTAAAATTTGAGCAAAGTAGATTGGAGAATAAAGCCATCCGCCATCCATATAACAAGGACCGGGTTCGATTCCCTATATGGGATTCTATTTGAAATCCCTCTGGAGTTTCCTCCGATGTATTGCTCAAAGCGGTGTAAAATCGTCTTATGATGCAGTTTATCTTCAATGGTCACTGAAGCGTGTGTAAAATATACTCAGGACGCTTAGCGTGACATGGTTGTTTATTATTTAATTATGTATTAATGGAGACCAACACATACAAATGTAGTCCCATAGTCTAATATAAGCATGACCACAGATTCCAGTGCTTTAAATGCACCCCAACCCCATCCCGTCCCTCTCCCACGAAAAAGTTTCCCTGAGGAGCATTTCCCCCTAGCCTTTGGACTTCATGATTTATGTGCATATAAATTAATAAACGTACACTGAATAACTGTTAGAAAAGTAAAATTATTGAATATTTGAAAAAAAAAACTAATGAAGGTTTGAAAAATTAAATGAATGAATTTTGGAAATGAAATAGTTGTTTGAATAAATGGCCCTAAAAGCTAAAGTCAGAGTATATCATATTCACCTCCATCGAATAAACATTTCTTGATTGATAATGACCTATTATAGTCATTATCAAATGTATGCATTTTTCAACTGCAGTATGCATTCGGCATAATTTGTCAACAACCGTCGGCAGGTCAAGGGGTGGTGTAAACCCTGGTGGGATATCGTGCGGGTGTCTGACAGCCACAGTGGCGTAAGGGAGATAACTCTAATCTTTGTTTCTTCCGACGGGTCAGGCTTGCGCCATTTTCAAATGCAATCAGAGCTTGTTGTGACATGCCTTTGAGAAAATTCGCATGGCTAAATATACCGGAGCACATTGAAAACAACAACATCCTTTGACTTCATCTCTGTTCGCAGAGGTACTGTATAATTAGCAGATGTAGAACAACAATGACATTTGATTCTCAAAAGAATGTTTTATAATGAAGCGTCAGTTTCTGTCAAAATGTCAAACATGGATGAGTCTGACAGACAACAAAACCTAGATCGATAGGTCATGTTGTCTTGGATATCGTGTGCTTGATTTTCTAACCGTTACACATAATGAATGGAGTGAGTAATTTTGACGGACCTCAGAAGACTTGATTTATGAAAGATATCGCTCGTGTGCATTGTTTAGTGTGCACTTGTCCTGTAGATGATCAGCTGATTGTTTCAGTAAGCGACAGTTTGTTAGCCATCTTACTTAGAGAAGCTAACGAATCTGATATGTTCAGTTCGTAAAGACAGTAAAAGGGTAACATAATCTTCCAATTATATAGAAGATTCGATTATTTCTTCGAACAACAGTTGTGTGGTGTTGACACAAAATTAGCCAATGACGACCAACACTTGTTTCACACTTTTGCATTTTAATTTTCGTGACGCACCATTCATTGGTTGGGCAAACTTGCTTGAACCCAGGCTGATGTAAATCAACCTTTCATTTGCCTTGAATAGCATTAAAATATCTGTGTTCATCATTGCGAGATCTACCTAAAGACTTTTCATGATTAAAAAGATATGTAAAATTATAATAATAAATATGTTCATGTAACAGTGGAAAGTCTGAAGTGAACTCCAACATTATGAATCACTGATGCACAGTATCATTTGTGTGCATTTATTGTGAAAAAGTATGCATATGATATTCAGTTCTTATTGCCTCTCTAGTCACCTGCCCAAAGATCCGGTGAATATTTCAATCCCCCGAATATGGTATGTAGTATGGTACTCATTATGTTGGTGGCATTCAGATTATAAAACATGGACTGGTAGGGTTGGACTCAGCATTTTGTGTTTGTGCTGAATGAGATATTCTTATGAACTGCAGCATTGTATCTCACTGAGCTAGCACTACGAAACCAAGCAGTCACACACAAATATGCATGCAGATTGCGAGAGTACCACAAATGATACCACTCTGCAAATGCAGCACCAGTCTGAAGTGAAAGTCTGACAATATTTGTTCATTTGTCACATAAGACAAGTTAGTAATACTGTAAACGTAGTTATTTTCGCGTGGGATTAATTTTCGAGCTTTTGCCGCAAAAAGATTGTGCATCAATAATCATACCAAGCGAAAAATTCATGGTCAAGTCATGACAAATACTCAAGTAGGAACAACATGCAATTTGTTTTTCTCTCAATAACAACATCAAAACAATATATAAAGGAATAGAGGCATAAACTAGTTTACTATAGTAACAGCGATCACAATCAGCAAATGTTTGTTATCAGTTTGTCAGTTAATTGATAGCTGATTACTCGTAACACAAAATGAACAAAGCTCATTTACATCAGTCACAAATCACAATGTTGACACAAATATCATCCCACCTCTCTCTGTTTGTTTTTGTAAACATGATTCAGTTATGGCGGCTAGCTTTGATCATTGCATGTCCTCGGTTGTGAAAACTTTGTGACGGATACCATCACTCAGGTGTTTGAAATGCGCGAAAAGACAACTGCGCTGACAGGTCTTTTGTGAACTTACCGTAAAATTTGCACCCCGTGAAAATATGTATGATTTCAGTAGTCTTAAAATGATATTATAATTGACAGACATTTTGGCTAGATCAGACAAGCAGACTCAAAACATTTTGGCTCGGACACTCTGACCAATGTTGTGTTTTATAGTATTAGTAGTATAGTTTCTGTATGTTCTGTCAAAGGCAGACTTCAGAATTAAAGATTCTGAATATATATTACTAATGGTCATGTTTCTCTTTCTCCTTATCAGGCAGGAGAGGGCACAACAATGGCTGCCACTGCATCTGCTCAGGCGCAGCAGAAGTTTACGAATCTTCGACGCCGACTGGATCAGCTAGGATACCGGCAAACCCTGGGTATTGAATCCCTTCCACTTGTGGAGAAATTGTTTGCAGATCTTATTCACACAACAGAAAGTTTAAAGAATGCGAAATTGGAACTTGGCAAACGTCAAAATGAGACAAAAGAGGCTGATGGTGCTGTGGAACCGTACAAGGTGGACAACGCCAAGCTTGTGCGGGAGAACAATGAGATTCATCTGCAGCTGGTTAAACAGAAGGAAGACATGGACACAGCTGTCAGAGGTAGGTGGACATGATAGACATGTGAAGTGATATGCTACATTAGTACATAATACACAGGGGTTGTGATATGCTACATGATACACAGGGGACGTGATATGGTACATGATACACAGGGGACGTGATATGGTACATGATACACAGGGGGCGTGATATGGTACATGATGCACAGGGGACATGATATGCTACATAATACACAGGGGACGTGATATGATACGTGATACACATGGGTTGTGATATGCTACACGATACACAGGGGACGTGATATGATACACAGGAGACGTGATATGGTACCTGAAACACAGGGGTTGTGATATGATACATGATACACAGGGGTTGTGATATGCTACACGATGCACAGGGGTTGTGATATGGTACATGATACACAGTCGTTGTGATATGGTACATGGTACACAGGGGATGTGATATGGTACATGATACACAGGAGACGTGATATGGTACATGGTACACAGGGGTTCTCATATGGTACATAATACACGGGTTGTGATATGCTACATGATGCACAGGGGACGTGATATGCTACATAATACACAGGGGTTGTGATATGGTACAAGATACACAGGGGTTGTGATATGCTACATGATAGTCAGGGGTTGTGATATGCTACATGATACACAGGGGTTGTGATATGGTACAAGATACACAGGGGTTGTGATATGCTACATGATAGTCAGGGGACGTGATATGCTACATGATACACAGGGGTTGTGATATGCTACATGATACACAGGGGTTGTGATATGGTACAAGATACACAGGGGTTGTGATATGGTACAAGATACACAGGGGTTGTGATATGCTACACGATACACAGGGGTTGTGATATGCTACATGATACACAGGGGACGTGATATGGTACATAATACACAGGGGTTGTGATATGCTACACGATACACAGGGGACATTATATGGTACATGATACACAGCGGATGTGATATGGTACATGATACACAGGGGTTGTGATGTGGTACACGATACACAGGGGACGTTATATGGTACATGATACACAGGGGTTGTGATATGGTACAAGATACACAGGGGTTGTGATATGGTACAAGATACACGGGTTGTGATATGCTACACGATGCACAGGGGTTGTGATATGCTACATGATACACAGGGGACGTGATATGGTACATAATACACAGGGTTTGTGATATGCTACACGATACACAGGGGACGTTATATGGTACATGATACACAGCGGATGTGATATGGTACATAATACACAGGGGTTGTGATATGCTACACGATACACAGGGGACGTTATATGGTACATGATACACAGCGGATGTGATATGGTACAAGATACACTGGGGACGTGATATAGTACATGATGCACGGGTTGCAATATGGTACAAGATACACAGGGGTTGTGATATGCTACATGATACACAGCGGATGTGATATGGTACATGATACACAGGGGTTGTGATGTGGTACATGATACACGTGGGTTGTAATATGGTACATGATAGACAGGGATTGCGATATGGTACATGATACACATGGGTTGCAATATGGTACATAATACACAGGGATTGCAATATGGTACAAGATACACAGGGGTTGTGATATGCTACATGATACACAGGAGACGTGATATGGTACATGATACACAGGGGTTGTGATATGGTACAAGATACACAGGGGTTGTGATATGCTACATGATACACAGGGGACGTGATATGGTACATGATACACAGGGGTTGTGATATGGTACAAGATACACAGGGGTTGTGATATGGTACATGATACACATGGGACGTGATATGCTACATGATACACAGGGGACATGATATGGTACATGATACACAGGGGGTACATGTGGTGATATGGTACAAGATGCACAGGGGTTGTGATATGGTACATGATACACATGGGACGTGATATGCTACATGATACACAGGGGACATGATATGGTACATAATACACAGGGGTTGTGATATGGTACATGATACACAGGGGTCGTGATATGCTACATGATACACAGGGGACGTGATATGGTACATGATACACAGGGGTTGTGATATGGTACATGATACACAGGATACAGGCCATGATATGGTGATATGCGTGATATGGTACATGATACACAGGGGTTGTGATATGGCTACATAATACACAGCGGATGTGATATACACAGGGGCATGATACATGATACACAGGGGTATGTGATGTGATATGTACATGATACACAGGGGTTGTGATGTGGTACATGATACACGTGGGTTGTAATATGGTACATGATAGACAGGGATTGCGATATGGTACATGATACACATGGGTTGTGTTATGGTACAAGATACACTGGGGACGTGATATAGTACATGATACATGGGTTGCAATATGGTACTTGATACACATTGGTTGCAATATGGTACATGATACACAGGGGTTGCAATATGGTACATAATACACATGGGTTGCAATATGGTACATGATGCACATGGGTTGTTATATGGTACATGATACACGGGTAGTGAATTGGTACATGATACATAGGGGTTGCAATATGGTACATGATACACAGGGGACGTGATATGGTACATGATACACGGGTTGCAATATGGTACATAATACACATGGGTTGCAATATGGTACAAGATGCACGTGGGTTGCGATATGGTACATGATACGCAGCGGACGTGATATGGTACATGATTCACAGGGGTTGCAATATGGTACATAATACTCATGGGTTGCAATATGGTACATGATGCACGTGGGTTGCGATATGGTACATGATACACAGGTTGTGATATGGTAGCAGATATACATGGTTCATAATTTGTTAAGTGATGCAGTTTAATATGTATGTAGATTCCTTCTACTATAGTCACTATTATAGTTACATCATATTGTAGTTCACTGTCTCACCATACTTATGAAAGGAGTAGTATTGTCGATTGTACATTTTTCAGTTGGCCATATAAGATGATAATATGACATGGGGAGGAATTAAGAGGCTAACTGTACAGAGTGGTGTTGGAATGAGAGACTGACGGCCATTGAGCCTGGATTGTCTCCATCTTACTGAGACTCATCCTCCATAATCTCCAGGATATACCTTCCGATAAATCTCCACTACACCCTGGATGAATCTACGGCCCAGCCCGCTAATTTTATTACCTCCCTTTGCTGGCTCCGCATTCTCACAGTAGCCAATCAGATAAGCTGTCGTTTCGACCGAGCTTGCCAGTGTCAACATAAGATAGCAGTCACAGCCGTGAAAGTTTGTTCGAAGTGCGACTCAGGTTTGGGGGGAAAACATACAGACAAATTGACAGGTCTGAAAGCTTAAAAAAATATATGCAAGAACTCCTTCTACCTCTTTCAGAGTACCTCTGCCAATATATTATTGTGTTGCCAAGTTTAATCGGTAAGATAATTTAAAAAGCGAAAGTGAGTTGTGATTTTGTACGGTCAACTTCCCAGCGTAGACACCTGATTGGATAAAAGCCAGCAAAGGGAGGTAATAAAATCATCGGGCGAGCCGTAGATTCATCCATGGTATAGTGGAGATTTATCGGAACGTATACCCTGGAGATTATCGAGGATGACTGAGACTGAAATAAATGCTTTCAGTAGTATGTTGGCCTTTTAGCTTTCTGATATACAAGGTTTTGCAGTTAGTGTCTCTGATATAGAAGCTGAAGGCTAGGTTTAAAAGTATGATTTTCTAACGTCAGAGCTGAAGGCTGGGATTTACAGTAAGACTTTGAATGTCAGAGCTGAGGGCTAGGTGTCAGTGATATCTTCTGTTGTTAGAACTGAAGGCCTCCCTGCGTAAGCTGGAGCACGAGAACGCGGATCTGAAGTTCCTCAACAACGGCAGCTGGAGAAGGAGGCTCGAGAGAAGGCAGATCGCATCCTCAGTCTGCAGGAGAAAAACTTCCATGCTGTTGTACAAACTCCAGGTAGGTGTCTAGAACTTCCACATTGTAGTACAAACTCCCAGTATGTCTCTTGTTTAACTCTTGGTACCTCTCTGGTTCATGTAACTCTCCAGCGACCTCTCATGTACTTCCACTACTTTATGCAGATCTCACAAAGAAAACTGAGGGAATATTTGGAGAATCAAAACCTAATATATTCCTCCCATAGGAGACATAATCTTCTGGTCATGTGGACAAAGAGAATAGAAATAGTGTATAGTGCTAGCAGATAATGATCATGGTACAATATTCCTTTTGCATGTTGTTGGTATTTATTATGATTATGAACAAAGGATGCTTAGCAGGTAGAGAGGGGCATATTTGAGATCTCTGATCTGATTTTCAGCACAAGTCTGGCAAATAGTTACAATAAACATACAGTTGTCTCCCTAAAGTTATGACTAGGTTCAGTAGTCAGAAAATGTCACTTGGCATACCTAATTGTCATGATAATAATTGTGTTGAGTCCCTGTATAAACAAACAAATGCAGATAGGTTTTACACCTTATATCTTCCTTTGACATTTGACTTTGTAATACAGATAGTGCATTGTGTGTATTTACTGGCAGGTTTCTGTTAGTACTCTCTGTAGACTGGCATCCCGGTATTGGCCCATCTCCATTTTCATGTGTTAGACTTTTATCTTAAGTTATGTTTCATTAATCATAGCATATGGAATATACCAGTTTCAAAGATGATTCTCCGTGTCAGTAAGTGTGAAACAACAGTGTAGCATCTGGTCAGACTTGGCAGTTGATTTGATTCTGGAAATAACAAAACATGATTTAACACTTGTTAATGGTAAAACATAAAATGCAAATTACTATCAAGTTTTCTCTAAAGAAATAATGCTATGTAAACCTTCAATTGACTTTGTCTAAAGAAATAATGCTATGTAAACCTTCAATTGACTTTGTAGGCGGTAGAAAGAAGACAATTCCATTCCGCCGACAGCGAATGGAGATCGACCTGACTGTCCCTTCAGCAGAGAGTTCAGGATTCAATGTCCCTCCTCCGGACGACCCATATGTGGCTGACCTGCTCCAGGTCGCCGACACCCGCATCGCCAACCTGGAGGAGGAGGTGCGCACACTGCAGGACGAGAAGGATGTGATGGACAGGAAGATCAAGACCTTCAGGCAACAGGTGGGTAATGGCTCATCATACATAGAACTGTCAGTTTTTTAAATTTAAGCTCAAGGGTCCTTAGCGTCAGCCTAATGTTATTGTTATCAGTTAAATATTTAGGGCTCCTTGACAAATGGAAATAATGCTGAGGTAATGCAGGACCAAGCCTCAATTTCAAAGAAATCCACTTAATTTTGAACACTCTTGGAGACTTTGAATTAGACTTGGCATCATTCATCACCTGAGTACCTGTGTTAGGATGTGGGGATCAAAGTCTACCATCACTAAAAACACACACAAAGATTTACCTTATATTTTATCAATTGTTGGGGGCATTGATGGCAGTTGTGCAGTTTGTCCCTAAATATGCCCAGATGGTACAAAACACTGGTTCATCTCCCCCACTCACTCTGATTAATATTCTTGTTTTATCGGCACAATACCTGTGCTCGTCGCTTTCACCAAAATGCCCTCATTATTCTTCAAGCATATTTTCATGGACTTGCTCCAGCACAATATAAACTGACACTGAACCCCATTTCACTTCAGCACTCATTTCCAAGAGTCAAAAAACAGATTTATCTTTCTGCCATATTTATCTATCTGTCAGTGTAAACCAAAAGTCACCGTGTTCTTTTATCTGATTGGTTGAAAAACATGATCGAATGGTATTCGATTCCAGAAATTTCAAGACTATTCACTGCGTACAAATATCGCACATAATTGTATTGTTGCGTTATCAGCAGTGGTGACGTCATTCAAAGCATATTGTGACGTAAAGTCGGAATGACGTTACAAATGAGCAGTGTCCAGATGCTACCATGGGAACCAGCTGAAACGGCCAGTTGATGACACTTCACTGTTGTCACCGTACTCGATGTCAATTAGTGCAGACAGTTAAACCCATGAGGGCCTTTTGGTTTACTTTTGTGTTTACAATGTCGATAGACATCATGTGTTGGCCAATTTCCGGGTGTTATTGAGTATTTGAAGCATGGGAATATAATGCCAGAGGTTTCAAATGAAATATTCCTATGCTTCGAATACTCAATAACACCCGGAAATTGGCCAACATGTGATGTTTATCTCCTAATTGCAATGCACTGGGTGCTCGAGATGATGGGTACTTTGAAGCCAATGTTTATGTGGTTGGTACGATAATACTTAGCTGGAGATTGGCTAAAAGTTTCTTGCCATGACTGCTTGATGCATTTGTTTCAGATTTAACAGTGTACATGGAAATGTGTCAAAACTTGAAATGTATTTTACATGGACAGAATATCAGCAGCATGTGATGCCACAAATATGAACAAATTGACTGAATCTCCCTGAAAATCATTACTGTAATACTGAAATCTGGTCACTGACTAAGCCAGGGTTTGTCCTAGCCTGTAAAAATGTGTGTCATCAATATCAGCTTTGACTCCCAGCTCAAGTTTGTTCGGCTACAGTCACAGTAGCTGCTGGGGAGAGAATATCAGCTTGACTGAATCTATGGAAATGATTTTTTCAAACATATGTTCAAATTACTGATCAAGTTTGTACTCGGTCTTTCAAAACATTGAGAGAATCTGAACACCAGACATCGCTGTACCCAAGGCCTAAAGTCTGTTGTGCAATATATTCAAGGAGTTACAGGTGTGATATCGCTCTTCACATTTAGCTTTGAATTAATGCTGTCTGTGAACCATTGTGTGCCCAGTAGAAGGTTGTAAATGCCTTCAAGAATTAAAGAAGGTTGTTTCCTGTACTATCTATTTCTACCCAGAGAGGTATCTTTCTTCTGTAAGATATTTACTTTGATGTCTTCCTCAAGTCACCAGTACAGTTTACCTGAATTCTGTTCATTATAAACATTCTTCCCTGTAAAGCTGCAAGAATGCTGATACCCTGCACGAATCCTCCTCACCACTGACTTTAAACATGAAGTACTTGTAAGTCAGCATGGTTAAACAAGGACATATATAGAAACACACTGAACCAGCCAATTTACATATGATGTACAGTCCGCCCCAAGCAAACATTGGATTGGTTGTTGTTTAACACCACACTCAGCAATATTCCAGCTGTATGGTAGCGGTCTGTAAATTATTTAGTCTGGATCCAGTGATCAGCAACATGAACATCGATCTACGCAATTGGGATACGATGACATGTGTCAACCAAGTCAGCGAGTCTGACCACCCATTGGGTTGCTGAAGACCATTTATAACCCAGATCTTCATGGGTCTCCCCAGCAAACAATGCTGGTCACAAGTGTTGGCTGAATAGATGGGATGGTGGTTTGGTTGGAGCAAATCTATCCCACAGATGTGGCTCATTGCTCAAAATATCAATCACTGGATTGTGTGGTCTCCAGACTTGAATGTTTACAGGTTGATACCATATAGCTGGAATACAAAAGAGTGCATTGTAGCAATAAAACATGTCGGCCTGAAACATCTGGCATTTTGAACATTTCTTGTAAGGTAGTTTCAACAGTAATGCTTTTCATGATAAGTATCATTCTAAAACAAAAACATGGCACTTGACAGGAAGCAAGTATACTGCATCTATGTTACACATGTATTGTGTTTGATTGGGAAAATTGTAATTTAGTAAATTTATCATTCTCACTGGCAGATTCAGTATTCATGGAAACATATGACATCATCCATGCCGTATTCATTATTGGATGATAAAGATTTGAAATTAAGGATGAAATTTCTTGGCATTCATTGATCAATAAAACATGCACTTGAAGCACTCCTAAATAAGATGCATGTTGTGAAATATGTGTGTCACCTGCAACTTGACCACCAGTGGTGTACATCACACAATTCTGGCAATATCAATCACTGGATTGTCTGGTGCAGACCCCAGGGTTTTACACCATGTGCAAATGTAGAGAATAGACAAAGAAAATACATTCACTGTGTCCAGAAGGGCGCAAAATATTATTCATTGTACCCCCAACACATCTGTGACTTTTCTAAGTGGTTGGTTGTTTCTTTCAGAGCAGTTACATGCATCATTTCCTCCATCAGTCAACATGACCAATGAATCATTCTAGGCTCTAAGGAAATTACCAAATTGTAGAGTTATCTACACAGTTACTACACAGGACCACTTGTATTGCCCGTAAAGACCCTTAAAACTATAAATATAGGGGTCCCAGCAGGCCTACCAAAGAAAACGTTCCCACTTTGCAGAAAAACGTGGAATAGTCCACATTAATTGTGGAAATAGCAACATAAACATAATACCTAGCTACTGAAACAGTAAAAATGGTAACTATAAATCGCTAAAACTGGATGAAAAAAACGAAGACCATGCAACTTCATTCTTTTTCATAGAGATCGTCCTTGGGGTACATATATGCATTTTCTGCGGCTGAAAATGTCCTGGGACAGTTGTATCAATGTTTTAATAAAAATATTGTACAATAAATAAAATCTTTTTTATCTATTATACGGCCCCCACCCCGTGGAGTTACCTCCCTGCTATGCATGCGCAGCCAACCAGGTAAGCACCTAGGCCCGTATCATCATTCCTTCTGCTGTCACTCCACTGTACAGATGTGTCGAGTTACTAAGCTGAATACCTTGTCTTCTACGATAAAGAGAATAATGTCTGAGACCTCCCAACCTGTATGTATGGTCTTTATTTGTCCTTGACGGAACAGTTATAAGACTTTTGCAGATGGTTATTTCTCATAATTGTGACTTTGTATTAAATTTTTACGCTAGCTTTCCCGTGGTTTACGCACGTGTTGCTTTTCCATGGCGGGAAGTTTAGGGTGCCACGTGGTTGTCATATTGCGTTCTTAACCAAGTATTTCTTCCCATGGTCACATTCACGTAATTTTCAATGTTTTGTACGTGTATATTTATGCTGCTGGCTCCGCTGTTAGCTACATGCTTGCGTGTTTGCTTTCAGGCGTTTACTGGATGTTCTGTCTGTGGACAGAGCATTCCCTGAGCCGACGAGCACGACAAGTGCTTATGTTGTCTTGAAAAAGTCGGCCATAATCCCGACGTTTGTGAGCTGTGCATGGGCTTCTCCACCCGGGCCCAGAAATGTAGGGCCGCGGATTTTCTCTTTTACAGAGAACTGAGAGAGGCGGGAGGGGAACTGACCCAGGAGGTCCACCCGTCTAAAGCCAAAAAGGCTAAAACCGGCAAAAAAGCTAAGTCGCCTAAGGCGCCTACTCCTTCACACAGCGGGTTTGACATGTCGTTAATAACGCAACTTTTTCAGCAGCACATGGACTCAGTGAAGTCCCTTGTTCATGAGTCGGTTGGAGGTCTCCGGCAGGAGTTCCTCGCCCACTCTGAGCAGGGGACAGAGAGTCCCGGGATGGGATCGCCGAGCCCGGCTCGATCCCTTAGCCTGGAGGCGTCTGTAGATCCGTTGCCTCTGGCTCCGGGTCTGGACGCCTCGGCTACCCTGGAGGGGGAGGGTTCGCTCCCAGTCCCCCTCTCGCTGTTGGCGCAGGGTCCGTTGAGGATTCCTGGGGTTCAGGTCCCTGCACCGCCCCACCCCATGAGAGAGGAGGAACCAGTTCTGCCTGGTCTTCCTCCCATGTCTCGGGACCGGGGTTCGAGTGTGGTGTCGGGTGCCGGAGCGGGGAGTTCCTTCGGCTCTTCCCTTCCCTCTGTGTCTGGTGCTAGGCTTCCCACCGGGTCGGGGTTTGGGTCCTCTTCGCGAGGAGACCCAGCTTCTGACTCGGGCTCGGGTGCCGAGTCCATGGACGTTGGGGAGGTCGAGGAGCCGGAGGGCACTTTCCGTTTCTCAACGCCTCTGAGGGAGGTACGGCAACGTATTGCCGAGTTTATTCCCCAGGCCACGGTACCTACCAGTCACTCGGACTCATCTGAGTTCGCCTGCCGGGCAAGACTTTTGCCCCTAAGCAACCCTCGAAGACACTGCTCCACATCTTGCCGTCCCTGGTGCAGGACGTGATGGATCCCCTCCTGGTTGGGACACGCCTCCGGTTCGACTTACCCAAACTTGCGACCGGACATTCTCACTCAAAA